GATGATTGAGAAAGACAAGCAACATGATTACCTGTATCTTTGGCAGGAGTCTATGAATAAACTTTCTTAAAAAGAGCCTCATAATCTGCATCCAAAATAGATACTGATCCAGTAGAGGATGGCGCAACATCGGTCTAAGCAAATGTGGCATTTGGTGGTGGCTTCAAGTGAGGCTACTTCCTGTAACAACGTTCTTCAAAGTGTCCAAGGTTTTGGCAATAATTGCAACAGGGCATCTGTCCACGATAGCGTACATGGTTTCAATTAGAATCGTTAGCACGAGATGAGGTCAGGACTATTTTTGATGATAATACTTGAGCCCTCTATTACAAATCAGATGTAAGAACTTGAAAGAATAGAAGAAAAGACCAGAGAACAGCAAGGAAGCAAGAGATCGCACAAAAAGGTGCTCAAATAACGAGTTTTTCTCCAATATCTCCAAAAAATGGATAAGACCCACTACGAATGGAGACCAAATCTGGAAAGAGGAAGAGAAGAAGAACATGACGGTGGTGGTCCGACCTGGAACGGTGGCTGGACGCTCTCTTACGCGTCGAAAAAGCAAAGACGGGGCCAGAAACTTCCACTGGCGCGTCGGAGCTCTGATGGTGGCGCCACTTGGACCAATGAAGGTGGCTCCTCGAGGCAGTTCTCATTGCATGGTCTTTTGCATGAAAACTCGTCGGATAAGTGCTTCGGCGGCGATGAAAGTGGCAGATGGTGTCTTTTCGGTAATGAATAGCGGTTGACGATGGTTTTTTGACGATCTGAGGGTCGGGTACTGAAGGTAGGTTGCTGGTATGATGCACGACACAGATGACTTGCTGGAACGATGCACAACAAGGATCTCCTGCGAAAATAAGGTTTTCCCATAACGCAAGCTCTGGTACCAACTTGAAGAATACGAATATTGTATTATATTGAATTGTGTAAATGAATGTACACGAGCTCTCTATTTAGATAGGCTAAAAAACCTAATGGACTAAGCCCAAGGAACCTTTTAGAGTAATCTACAATGCTAATCTAAATAATACAATATTATTTCTAATAGTAAAATTTTGACTTAAAAAACCTTGATCAAATCAAGCTCCGTACACATCTTCTCAAGTGTTGCTTTTTGTTTGAACAAGAACAAGTGGACAATATCACAAACATTCACGGAGGGTGTGTTTCAGAGTTTGAAAGAAAAATAAAGATATTCAAGCGGAAAGAAAAAATGAAGAATATTTCCTTCCTTTTATTTGAGAGATAAAAATATGACAAGGTAGAAAAATAGAAAGTTAATGAGATATTTTTATAATTTTACTCTTTCTTAAAAAATAATAAAAATATTATATTTTGTTATTGAAATTAAATTTAAAATTTCTTAAATAATTATTTTATAAAAGTAAATCACTTATCTCAAACTAATGCAATTGGAAACAACAACAAAATTTGTTTAATTTTTTTAAAACTAATTTTTAAATTTTATAATTTATTCATCGGTTTTTATTTTAAATTATTAAAAATAAAAATCCATTGAAATATTGTTCAAATTTCAACGGTCAGGCTTCAAGAGAAGAAAGAAATCCCCACTAGTGTTAAGCATTACGCGAAGAATGCGTTGAAAAATAAAATAAAGTAAAAAACTTATTTGTTTTAACCCCACTGCAATTGAAGTTGGTAAGAACGAAAAGCCACTACCGAAGGATGCTATGCTATCGCACTCACAGCAGCTGACAGTAAGCCTAAGGAACCCGAACGCCACAATCGCATCCCATCGCTCATCGGTGACCAGCTCCAATAATCGTCGGCTGCTCCGCGTCGTCTTCCCGGTGATCCGACAAGATCCAACAGCTGCCACCGGGTAAGATGGACGCCAAGAACCCGACCCGTTTTCGTAATGGTGGCGCTCATGCGCCCGCCGCAACAAGTATTATTCTCAGTATAGTTATGTGACTTATGAAATGAACGAAAAGAGAGAATTGAATGAAAAAAAAAAACGAGAAAGAGAGTAAAGGTATATAAATAATTTATATATTTTTTTATTTTTCTCAAAGTTAAGGAATTTTATTTTGGGGAAGAATATTGTAACAATCAACTGGTGTTAGTATCAATATTACTATCAATCAATTTCGCTGTTAGATCGTTACGTTGTTCCAACGGTTATATTTATTTTCATCTTTGTATGGTTACGATTCATCATATTTAATACTTTATGATTTTCCATATTTAAAGCGAAATACAAAGGTGAAAATAAATATAAAGCATTAAATATGGAGAATCATAACCATACAAAGATGGAAATAAATATAACCGTTTGATCAATATAATCGATCTAACGGTAAAATTGATTAGTAGTAACATTGGTAGTAATACTAGCTAGTTGTTACAATATCCTACCCCTTCTAATTTTAAGAATAAAAAAATCTTTAATTTTTTAAAACTCATATATAAAGGGTTTCTTTCCCTTTTAAAACTATGAATATGTTTGGATTTGTTTTTTTCTTTTTTAAAAATTGTTTTGAATATAAATTTTAAAAATTAATTTTGAGAGTAACAAGATTTAAAGTTATAAAGAAGTTGTAATTATTTAAAAAAAAAAAAAAAGTTGTTTTGCTTTTTTAGTTTTTAATATTAAAAACTAATTATTGTTTTGGGAGTCATTTTTCAACTCTTTCCAAACAAGTTATTTAACTTTTTTGTTTTAAAAACTCAAAAACTGTTTTTGAGAAAAGAAATCAAACATGACCTAAAGCTACCACCATAACAAGAAAAGAATATTTTAGTTTACTGGTACAAGGCAAAGTTATGTTGAGATATATAAAATCATTAATATAGCCTCACCTAATAGCTGAAGTTTTTGGGTTGAATTGATTCTTTAAGGTATCAGAGCCTCGTATCCGAGTTCGATCCTCACTCCCCATTTTCTTTCTAGTGGAATTTCTTTCTTTGCACAGTTTGGGTTGAATTGGTTCTTTACATGATATCAGAGCCTCGGTGTATCGGGTTCGATCCTCACCGTCCCCCACTTTCTTTCAAGTGGAATTTCTTTCTTCGCACAAGTAGGTGAGCCTGTGCATTGTACACCTTTCAAGCCCATTGGACTTTCGTGTGAAGAGACGTGTTGAGATATATAAAACCATTAATATAACCCCAACCAATAACTTAAGCTTTTGGATTGAATTAATTTTTTAAAAGTTACATATTTATACATATCGTCAAAACACTAATAATCCAAATGAAAGATCTATCATTTTAATTAAGAAGCGACATTAGAACTGTGATTTGTCATTTCTTGGAGTCAAAAGTTGCAAAATATCAGGATTTGGTAGGGAACAGATAATCCTTGGACTCAAACTTGAATTTTTGGAAACCCATTTTGGAGTTTTCTACCGAGTAAAGTTCAGCTGAAACAAGCCTGCACTATTTCTGACGAGAAGAATGATAAGCTTCCACGCAGTATATATTCATGGAAACCATATTTCCTTAATAATCATATGAACTATAAAATATAACTAGAATATATGAGCACTACTGTGCTAAATTAAACTTTATGGGAGAAAAAAAAAGTTAGATACTTAGATTTATTTACTTTGATACCACTTTGGCAGGGAAAGGAGAGATTCGAATTTTCTGTATCCAAATTTTGGAATTATTCCACTGTTTGAATGAAAAAAAAAAAGTTGATATGATAGCCACTAAATCTTGAACTTTAGCTTTTATTATATGGACACAGATTTCATGAAAAAGCTCTTCTCTTTTTAATCTTTATTTTTATTAATTCCCTTCCGTTTCAAGTTATTGAGAGTTATATTGTAAGAATTTCTGAAAAAAAAATAAAAAATTATATATTATGAGTAGTATATAATTATAAAAGAAAAAAAAATTAATATTATAACTATGTACTATCCGTAATACATAATTATTATTTTTTTGTAAAAATGTATAACTATGTATTGTGATACTATCTATAATATATGAAAAAAGCATTTCTGCAGCCACTATAGATAACATTATTTATAGCTATATTTTTTTAACTAAGTCTGACCAATAAAACATAGTTATAACAATAAAGTTATTTTTTTTTCTTCTCAGATATTGTCGATTGACGTGATGGAGAGAGAAAATGCAATTTTTATGTCTTACTAGTCAGACTTGATTACAAAATAGCTATAGATAATTTTATCTATAACGACTAAAAATATTTAACTTATAGTATATAATTATTTTTTTATTGCAAAAATTGTGGCAACACAAGAATTTTTACGAAAAAAAAAATTGTAGCTGATAATATCAAACTTCAATTTCCAACATGAGTTGCTACTTCTAGCTATTCTTGTCAGTTGTCAAGCCAACAAGAATACGTGCTGACCCTGTTCCCAATGGAGAAGCTCAAAACTCACGAGCAACAACTAACTACCATCTAATAAACAAGTTCCTGAATATCATGCTCACTTCACCACCGGTGTCTCTTAAAAAAAGGGAAAATATATTGTATTTTAAATGACACAAGTTGAGATGAGATCTACTGAAAAAAAAAAATGAAATAAAAGTGTGCGCCCACTTTTTTTGTATGTATGAAATAATAAATTTATTTCATTTAAAATGACACATATTCTTTTCTAAAAAAATAAGATTAATATGCCATTATGTTTCATTTTGACTGCTATTATAATTGTATCATTCTGAGAAGTAGAGGATAGTGGAAGAGATTTAACGCAAGCACTGAACAAGAGCAAATAGACGACATGATAAATGCCAAGAGATTGGTAAAAATTTGCAAGTTGCTTCCATGAAGTCAACATCAATGATTATTATATGACACATGAGAAAAGGTAACAAAGTGACTGCTAAGCCACGCTTTTATGAGCAAAAGCTCCAAAGTTTTTGAAGGGTTTGAAACATATGAACTTTATAAAAGCCGTTCTCCGCCAGCATGGTTTGGCAAAGCAGTCTCATATATAAATTGGTTAAGAGAAACATCTTAAGGCAATTCAATAGATATAGTTCATTTGACAATGGCGTTGAAATCAGCATTCTCAGTCACATTCTTCTCCTTAGTCTTGTTAGCATTAGCAAATGGTTCTAACGCAGGCAAAATTACAATCTACTGGGGCCAAAATGGTAATGAAGGCACGCTGGCTGAGGCTTGTGCTACAGGGAACTATGATTATGTAATCATAGCCTTCTTGCCAACCTTTGGCATTGGCCAGAGTCCAATGATAAATCTAGCTGGTCATTGTAACCCATATAATAATGGGTGCAATGGCTTAAGCCCTGACATCAAAACATGTCAAGCCAAAGGCATCAAGGTATTGCTCTCTATAAGAGGAGATAAAGGTAGCTACCAACTTCAATCCACTAAGGATGCAAGTTATGTAGCAACTTACCTTTGGAATAACTTATTGGGGGGACACTCATCATCTCGTCCACTTGGCCCTGCTGTCCTTGATGGCATTGACTTTGACATTGAAGGTGGATCAAACAAATACTGGGGTGATCTTGCTAGGTTCCTTAAAGGGTATGGCAAGAAAGTGTACTTAACTGCAGCTCCTCAGTGCCCATTTCCTGATGCTTGGATAGGAAATGCTCTCACAACAGGTCTTTTTGATTTTGTTTGGGTCCAATTCTACAACAACCCTCCTTGTCAATACACTTATGGGAACATTAGCAACCTTGAAGATGCATGGAAACAGTGGACATCAAGTGTCCCTACCAACAAGATATTCTTGGGTTTACCAGCTTCCCCAGAAGCAGCAGGCAGTGGCTTCATTCCCATTGCTGATCTTACTTCCAATGTGCTTCCAGCCATTAAGTGTTCTGCTAAATATGGTGGTGTTATGCTTTGGTCCAGGTACTATGATGTTCAGAGTGGTTACAGTTCTTCTATTAAGAACCATGTTTAAGATCAAATTACATTGTTTTATGTTATGAATTATAAATGTGTGGATGTCAATGAGATATTAACATCAGAAGTCAGAACCAATTACTTTGTATTATGTCTTGAAATACATACACAGATTTTATTACATGTGTGCTAAGTGCTTCTAAGTTCTAACCTTGCTATTAGCCTCAGATACAAACAAGCATTCCTGTTTCTTACCAGGAATTTTAGCTAGCGACTGAGCATAAACAAAAAATTACCAAGGAGATAAATCTTTATATGCAGAAAATGTAGCTTAAAAACTGATAACTAACATCTCTCCTTATGAAATTTCCATTCAATTATCAAAAGTCAAACTAGCAAATATGATGAAAAAAATTTCATAAGTTCATGCAGTGAAATTTTGAGGACAAATTCCTACTTGTATAATTTTCGATTACTAAGAAATCCAACATATATGGAAGAGAAAAACCGTTGCAACTACACAACAAACTGGTTAGTTGGAAGTTGAAAAATAATCAATGGATTGATGGTCCCCTGCGTAACAGACTAAATGTTATATGGGCATCGAGTAAAAAAGACGAATTTAAAAACTAAGCTCCATTCTTTCGCATGTTCTTGGAAAAAAAATTTATGTTATATCATCTATTATAACTATATATTTTAGAGAGTACATAATTATAATATTAAAAAAAAAAATTCTTTCTCTACGTTAGCTTACAACTTCTAAAAATAGAAGAAAAAAAACTTTAATATTATAATTATGTACTCCTCCGAATACATAATTATAATGGGTGGGGTAAGATAATTTTATTTTTTAGCAACATAAGAGTATGATTTTCCAAAAACTAATTGTACTTTGAAATGTGAAGGGAACCCTATCCTTAAGATAAAATTAATTTGCACCCATTATTTTGCCAAAAGGTTATGGTAAATTGCCTCAAGGAATAATCCAAGAACTTTGGGATTATCAACCAAATTTTTTGACAATCCTACTTTAAAGAATTATTTTGAATGATATCATGAGAAGATAAGAATAGAGAGAAGAATTCAAAGATGATAAGTCATTAGGTTTGGTAGCGAGAGATTTTGGTAGGTTATATTAGATTATGTGTTCAATTTTCACTTATATAAAAAAAATATTATATTTCACATCTCATTGATAAACTTGTTTCTTTTAATTTAGAGTAAAAAAACTTATCAACATTATTATGATTAAAACCATAGGAAGTGGGTGTTGAGTTTTGCTCTTTCACTAAAGCCCAATTGGTCCTAATGTGTAAGAAAAACTCAAGAAACCTAAAGCTTATTCAATTTAGGGTTAGAGTTTCTTGGAATCCATATATATTCTACATTTATAGTCATCAGTCTCTCAAAAGTTTTCACTTGGTGGTTGCAGAGGTTAAGATAAGGTCATCTCCATGATAGTGAGAGAGTGCCCTCACACTATCTCCTTCCTCCTTGACAGATAGGCTGGAAGGTCTGCCACCAACCAGCTACAAGAAGATTGTTCGTGCTATGACATAGGCGATCAGTTCATGAAAGGATTTCACACACAAGGAGGTCGCTCATAGATTTGCGCTCAAAAAGATGTATGCCTTGTGTATTAGTGAGACGATGATGATTCGGTAAGCATACCAACGTACTAGGTCTTAAATCGCTTTCGCATAAATCCAATAATTCCTATAGTGGGTGACTTGTAGGAGTTGGAGGTGGAAGATGAAGAAGAGGAGTTGTGATTGAGTACGGTGAGGGGTTCATAGAGGCACGAGGGGCAGAAGCCGGTGAAGTTCTCCTGTGGTGGCAGTCGTAGGATGTGGAGGAACGGTGTGGTTCTTACCTTCTAATGTTAAAAAAAGATTCTTCAAAAAAAATTTGGAGGGGGGCGGTGGCCAATCCTAACCCCCTTGACTTCTCCCCTGCGGGTTGTGGTCGCATGAGGTGGAGGGACAATGTGGTTCTATATTGAATGTTATAATTTTTATCTTTAATTTTGGGGGGGGGGGGTGTGCAGTGGCGTAGCCACACTTCTGCCAGCAGGTGCCAAGGCACCTGCTTGATTTTAAATTCTTTTACTTATTATATATAAATATATAATTAACAAAGATTAAATTTATAATTTGACATCACCTAAATAAATATAATTATATTTATATTTTTCAATCAGAAAAATAAAACCCAATACCCAAACCCTTTTACCTAACCCATAAATTAAGATCACTCTCAAAGTCCTAATTTGTGACTTACAATTGCAATCAGATTTCTCTCAACCTTGTGTCTTGCTCCTTTTTTCGTCTGACTTGTTGCACAACTTGCTTGCTCCTGCAAGGCTTTGACTGATATAGCAATGGTTGTGGTTGGCTACTTGGCTTGGGGCTTGGGTGCTTGCCTCTGCAATTTGTATATCTATTAAAAATGTGTTTGGTGTTTTGTGCTTTTAAGAAGGTGCTTGTGCTTTTTCTTTTTACCGAAAAGGTTAGTGTCTTTTTATATGTTTCCTTTAATATATATGTGACATTATTTCATATATAATTTAAATAACTATGCTAGAATTTATAATAAATCTTTTTCTTGATTAATTTGTGTAATTACGATAAATATTTTCATAATTTGATATATTAAAAAATTTTAACACCACTTAAACTTTTAGTCTAACTCCGCCACTCGATTTGTGGCTTTGCAACCCTTGTCCCCTGGCTCCGTCCTGATAAACACAAATCATTTTCATAAAATACTTATTAACCACACGTACCAAGTCGGAGACAATTCTTTTCTCCATCAACTGAAAAAGATTAAACAATTTTTCTAGCTTGAGGGGTGTGCATGACTATTAACATTTGTATAAGGTTACAGACTTAAAAGGACAAGACTTTTTTTTTTTTTTTGAACATAAAGGACAAGACTTCTAGTTATTCATCCCCCATCCAACCAATTATCTATTTTATTTTGGATAAACCAATTAATAATTCTACGTTGCATTCATGCTACTTTGCCTTTTCATCAAAGACATGCAATTCCATCTTTCTTGGCTTGCTTGCTCCATGTCCAAACCGTATTTACAGTAAAAAAAAAAAGAGGGGGAGGGTATTATTGTTTGATATTTTAGTAGTCACAGCGATCTTCTTCAAATTCTTGAATATAAGAGGTTCTCAAGCTAACACCTATTATTATGAGAATACATTTTATTAAATTATTCGGCGCAGAAATGACTTAACAGGATTGAGTGACCTTTTGTGATTAGAATTCATTTTATTAAATTATTCGGCGCAGAAATGACTTAACAGGATTGAGCGACCTTTTGTGATTCTCTCCGAGTAGTACGAGGCTATTGAACTTTGATTGCATTTGCGGTCGTTGTGTTGTGTCTAAGTCAATTGATATATTGAAATGGTTAGTTAGGAGTTCGGACCTGCGAGGGATAAGGGCACAACGATGAGAGAGAAATTATATAAGTAATTTTTAAAATGTAGATGATGCATTTAAATATGGTGTATAAATAATCATACGAAAGTATAAAATATGAGGAATCATAATTATATATCTGTCATTAGAGGTGAAACTGGATTGGGCCGACCTACAGAGCCTACGGCTCGGCCTACGTCAGGCCAGACCTAACCTAGTATATTTCGTAAAATAGGCAGAGCTTGGATTTTGAAAAGACTTGTTTAATAAAAGGCCTAGCCTATAAGCCTACGGGCCGACCTATATTATACTATTTATTTTAAATTAAATAAAATAGATTAAGTATGCCTTGAAGAAAAAACAAAAAATATAAATTTAATCAATTGCAATTATTTATAACTTAATTATATTCGATTATATTTTAATAGAAATATGACTTTATTTCTTATGTAGGAATAACCAACATCTCAGCATGTTAGATTGTGTATATGAATATATTAAAAAAAATTTTGAAGAGGTTATACTTACTACAAGCACCATGATGTGTTTGTTGGATCATGTAGTTATTTTAATTTACATAGTATGGATTTGTTTGTTGGATCTGATGAAATATATGTTATTTAGTTTGAGCATTTTGCTTTTGAAAATGACTTAAATGCATATTATATGAGTTTTGTTTTGATTCATAATTCTGTTTGGACGTTGAAATTATGATTTTTGGTTTAACAACAGAATTTGAGTATTTTGTAAAGTTGATTCATGATTCTGCTTGGAAGTTAAAAATTAACAGGCTAACGGGCTAGGCCGGTCCATTTGTTTTTTATAAACGGACCAAGACAGGCTAATAGTTAGACTAGTACTAGGCTTGGGCCAGGCCAAAGTGAAAATTTTTGGCGTAGGTTTGGGCTTTCGGGGACAAAGCTTGGCCCAGCCCACTTTCACCCCTATCTGTCATTATTGGACGTCAAACGGCGATAGAAATAATTATATATATATGAGAAAAATATTTCTCAAGTTGTTTGAGATATATTTATCTTCGTCCACTCCAAAACTATATCGTTTTATTTATTTATTTTCTTATATTAATTGATTTATCTTTAAATGGTTATGATTCTCTTTCTCTCTCTTTTTTTATTATCATTAATCCATCTTTATACGATTATGATTTAGGGTGTGCATGACAACCATTTTATTCCCTTGCACTGTTTCTGAAAAGAAACAATTCTTTTCTATTTCTGTGCCTTGGAACAGTTTTGAGAAAAAAAATATGTTTGATAACATGTTTTATTTTTATTCCGAGAATGAGAATTGTGTTTGATAACACAACAAATAATATAATAAAAATAATTCCTATTAAATATAAATTTTTTTCAGATCATCACTTTCATTTGCATATGGTGTGGTTGTGTTGTGGTGGTGGTGGTGGCGACAGCGGTATGGTAGTGGTGGTGGCAGTGACATGGTGATGATAGTGGTGGAATGGTTGTGACGACAGTGGCTACGGTGATGGCAATGGTAATGGTGGCGGCGGCGGTGGTAGTGGTGGCGGAAGTGACGGCAGTGGCTGCGACAATGGTGGTGGGGATGGTGGTTGGTGGCGGCAACAATAGTAGCGGTGGC